GGGGACTCGAAGACCACGAAGTGGCCTACAGTTGGCTCGGGGCATTCAAAATGTGGCCCGGGAATGGAGTTCTGGGAACTCGAAGACCAGGAAGTGGCCTACAGTTGGCTCCGGGCATCCAAAATGTGGCCCGGGAATGGAATTCTGGGAACTCGAAGAGCACGAAGTGTGTGACTGTTGCATCCGGTTATTCTAAATGTGGCCCGGGAATGGCGTTCTGGATGTCGAAGAGCACGAAGTGTGTGACTGTTGCATCCGGTTATTCTAAATGTGGCCCGGGAATGGCGTTCTGGGATCTCGAAGAGCACGAAGTGTGTGACTGTTGCATCCGAGTATTGAGAATGTGGCCTGGGAATGGAGTTCTGGAAGTCGAAGAGCACGAAGTGTGTGACTGTTGGTGAAAAACGAGCCCGGCACCTGCCGCCCGGCAACTCCCAACACCTGCCCGGACCCCCCTGTGGAGTGATCTGCTGCTCTCTTTTGATCCCACTAGAAACCTATCAGTCTTCGCTGTTAGGTAATCAACAAGTTCGGCCTCTTGGGGCTCCAAGAGGGCCCGAAGATGGCCCAAGATGGCCCCAAGACGGCCCAAGACGGCCCAAGATATTGTCGACGGGGGCCCATGAGGCCCCCCAAACGGCCCCCACAGGGCCCCCAACGCCCCAAGGACGGCCCAACAGGGGCCCAAGAGCCCGAAATCCTTGATTTTCCTATGGTTTCTGCAATATCTTAGCGTTCTCGCATTTGTCGACTCTCAAAAACCCATGACGGCCCAAGCAGCTTCCAGTATCGCCCCAGAACAACCCAAAAAGCCCCCAAGAGGGCCCCAAGACGGCCCAAGAGGGCCCCAAAACGGCCCAAAGAGGCCCCCAAGACGGCCCAAGAGGCCGCGAAGACGGCCCAAGAGGACCCCAAGAGGGCCCCAACGCGGCCGCGAGAGGCCCCCAAAACAGCCTCCGAGGGGACGAAACGGCGCAACAGCGCCCCAAGACGGCCCAAGACGCCCCCAAGAGGCCCCAAGAGGCCCCCAAGAAGTCCCCCAGAAGCCTCCAAAAAGGCCCCCCAAAAAAAACCCAAAGGCCACACAGCGACTGGAGTGTAATGTTATTTTCCCTCCTCTGGGCGAATTGCGGCGCAGCGCCAGCCAGGTGGAAGTTGGTCACTGCGGCGCCCATGATTAGAGCCGGCGCTGGAAGGGAAGATGGGGAGGGTGTATGAAAAGGAGGGAGGGGGGAAAGGTCCCAAAGAAGCCCCTAAGAGGCCCAAAGAAACTCCCAGGAGGCCTCCAGGAGGCCTCAAAGAGGCTCCCAAGAGGCCCCGCGACGACGTGACTGTACGTGCTCCGGACGTGCACCCCGCGAAGCGAGAGGAATCCACGTCCGGAAGTGACGTGCTCAGCGGCAGCGTTTTCTGCGGAGGTGATAATGCAGCGTATCCAATGTATCCAATGCTTGCCTAATCGCCACATCTTGCATTGATTTGCGATTTTATGTCTCCCCCTAACCCCCCGCTGGAGTCGCGCCACAGCGCCGTACCAAAGGTGGCTGCCGTCCCTCTGGGGCCGCAAACCTACAAAAATCCAGTGAAAAATCAGCAAGTTCGGCCTCTTGGGCTTCTGGGGACTCCAAGAGGGCCTTTAGATTGCCCAAGATGGTCCCAAGACTGCCCAAGATGGCCCCAAGACGGTTCAAGATGGTCCCAAGAGGGCCCATGAGACCCCCCAAAACGGCCCAAGAGGGCCCCAAGAGGACCCCAAAGAGCGCCTCCAGGAGCCAAAGTAAGATTGTCGCGTTCTCATCTCTTTCGGCTCTCAGAGGATCATGCCGGCCCAAGCTGCCTCCAGGAAGACCCGAAGACCGCCAAAGAGGCTCCCACAGGGGCCCCAGGACTGCTCAAGAGGGCCCCGAGACGGCCAAAAGAGGCCCCCAAGACGGTCCAAGCGGTCCCCAAGACGGCCCAAGAGGACTCCAAGAGAGCCCTGAGGTGGCCGCGAGAGTCCTCCAAGATGGTCTCCGAAGGGGCCAGACGGCGCAAGAGCGCCCCAAGCCGGCGCAAGACGTCAACAAGAAGCCCCAAGAGGCCCCCAAGCGGCCCAAATGACGCTCCAAGAAGCCCCCACGAGGCTTTCAAGAGGCTCCCAAGAGCTCCCCATAAGGCCGCCCAGAAGCCGTGGGGATTGCAGGACGGAGCGGCACGCACGCGCGGCAGCCGAGCAGGTCACGCCAACCAACGCCCACACCTTCCACATGTGAGCACTTTTCCACAGCGGCGATTACCAGTCTGGATCGGCTGCGTGGCGCAAGATCCGCCCGCCAGCGAGCGGGGCAGAGCAAGTCTGCTTTGTCACGCTGGGAGCTGTGCGCCGCTTCTCGCATAAACACTGCTGAGCATCGCGTGCTTTTTAAACCCCGGCACAGAGGCCCATGACGGCCCAAGCAGCCTCCAAAATGGCGCCAAGACGGCCCAAGAAGCACTCAAAAGGCCTCCATGACGGCCCAAGCGGGCCCTGAGACGGCCCAACTCAAGAGGACCCCAAGAAAGCCCCAAAACGGCCGCGAGAGGCCCACAGACCCCAGACTGGCCTCCGAATGGGCCACACGCCGCAAGAGCGCCCCAAGACGGCCCAAGACGCACCCAAGAGGCCCCAAAGAAGCCAAGTGCAGAAGAGGCCCCAAGAAGCCCCCAAGACACCTCCAAGAGGCCACAAAGAAGCTCCCAAGAGGCCTCGCAACGACTGGACTACCCCGCGAAGCGAGAGGAATCACGACGACGGGGGTCGGGGACAGGGCTTGCCCTACGCTCGTGACGCCTCCTCGCGTCGTGGGGCACAGCAGACAGCACGGCGTAAGGCTTCCCTCTGGCAGTCTGCGGCCTCCAGGGCGAGGGACCCCTCGCCGCGGCCCGGGGCCGTCCAGAGACCGGCTCGGGAAGAAGAGCCAGTGAAGAGCCAGTCTAGAGTACCCACAGCTGTCCACGGCAAAGCGTGCCGAGAGGGACAGAGAAGTGCACGCTCGACCACGTTCAGCACAAGGGCAGGCAGCGAGGGCGCACCACGATTCTGTGAAGGCGTGGCTGCATCGGCCGCCAAGTGGGGGCGGCGTCCTCCTCTCCTGGTCCCGCCTTTCACTTGCTGGGGAATAATATCTAGAGGGGCAAAAAAAAAAACATTCACATAAACTTTCGGCGCTCCGCACGGACTTCTTGGATCTGCGCTGGATCCCCCTCCTTAGCGAGCGGAGCGCGCCAGGGACGGCGCCGGAGGTGCCGCCAGGGCGTCCCAGCGCGGATCCAAGAAATCTGCGCGGAGCGCCTACAGTTCTTTTCGACGAGCGTCGACGGTTTATGTGTATACACATTTTTGGTCTTCGAATATCCATACCTCCTGCTCCCTCCTGTCCTGGGGCCCTGAGGAATGAAGAGAACAGGAGATATATGGAGCCACGCTGAGGCTCAGGGTGGCCCCCGTACCTCTCACCTCTCCTCCCCGTCAGGATAACGCTGCTGCCGCTGCGGCCGCGGCCGTCGCAGGTCTCAGGCTTTTGCCGCTCGAGTGCGGGCCACCACGTTGGTACAGGCCGCAATACCCTGACCTCCTCGCGTTGGAACAAACATCACGACGGGAAGTTTTTGGTCATATTCCGCCCCCAAGTGCCCTCGCCAGGCCTGACGACAAACCGGTCCCTGGAAAGTGGTCCAGGCTGCGCTATAGTCCAGGCTCCAGGTCCAGGACCAGCGCAGCGCAATCCGTAGGACCTGCGGATCATGTCAAGACCTCCTCCGGGGCCCACGAGGTGAAACGATCCCAGCGAAGAGCACAACCATATGCAGTCAGCCTTGCCGCAGTTGCGAGTACCGCCCTGGGTGGAGCTGCCTACGGGGCCACGAAACGTATGAGGTGTGTGGCGCCACGTGCCAGGGCCGTCAAGCGACCGCGGCCACTGGGGCCTCTGGTGGAGCTCCTAGCGAGGCCACGGAACGCGCGAGGGGTGTGCCGACATGGGCGGCGGGAGCGCATGATAAGCCTGCCACTGGGGCCGTCGGTCGGCGCGAGGACTGCCCTGGAGGCCACTGGTGTCTCCCTGGAGCTTCGGGGGCTACCGCTGGCCAGGGCCACCTCCAACATCCGACCGCTCCTGGCCACCGCGCCCCAGACCCCAGCCTTCCCAGAGATCGCAGCCCTCCTCCCGCGTTTCTCTTGGAGGTCTGGCCCTGCCCCTCGCCATCGCTCGGACGTCCATTCCCCGTGCATGGTTCGTTGTCGCGCGTGCTTTTTTCTGCGCTCAATGTTCCAGGATGCTTGGGGAGACGATCGGCGGGGGGGGGAAGAAGCGTGCGCCCTTTGCGCCCTCGACTGGGGCCCTCGAGGAGCCCCTGGGCCACCCCACGTACCCAGAGCCCCGACGACATGTTCCCTTCAGGACGTCGACCCCCCGAGGTCTCGACCTTTCCCCTGGGAGCCAGTCTTTCATCCTGGGTCGTGCTTGGACGGCCCCGGGGCCCGGCGGTTGCCCCCAGTAGCCGAAAATAGCGGGCCACCGTCCGGATCGTGACCTCTTCACGACTCGAGGGGGTCTGTGCATCGCCCTTCCCAGGAAGCACCGCCCGAGACCACCTCCCCCCTGCTCGTTCAGGGATGAACGACTTCTGCCGTCCCTCGACTTGCGCTGGAGCGGCCGCGACTTGCCGCAACTCTCCCTAGAGATCTCTGGAGTTACCTGGATCTGTCCAGATTTACCTGGATTGACCTCGGTGAATCGTCATCTGCCTTGATTTCTCTGGCGCGATCCCCACAAGTTCGAGTTTGGGATTGGCTACGGAGTTTATGTGCACCAAATCCTTGTCCTCGTCGAATCCATGAAACATGCTACGTTTTTCTCGTCGATTCGACGAGGAAATTCATCGTGGGGTAAAATAATCCTGTAGTCGATCCTCTACTGGCCAAGTCGATTGGCAAAGCATCGTCAAGCCCTTCGGGTCCGGCCCCCGCTGCTCCGCTGGGCCTCCTCGCAGAGCTCGTTGACCCTCACGCCGCAGTTGTAGAGCGCCTCCGCCGGCAGCCAAGGGAGGCCCCTTTTCTGCCAGCGATAAGCGCGCCCGATCTCTCAGGAGACCGGGGGAGAGGGGAGAGAGCAGGTTTCAGACGAAGCCAGGATGAGGATAAATCGGGTGCGGGTAAATCGGGAATCTCTAAGATCCTGCGGTGTGGGAGGATGTCTCGAGCGCCGCGGCCTTCTCAGAGCGTCCCAGAGCGCTCCGAGGGCGTCCCGGAATGCTCTGGAACGGATTTGTCCTCGTCCGAGCCTCGTACGAAGGTTTGCGGCGCGCAGAGGGGGGCAGAGGGGGAGGGCAGAAGGAGGCTGCTTCTCAGAAAGCGCCGGCCTCACATCTGTAACCAACTGCTATGAGCTTGCCTCTGTAGGGGTCCTAGCGGATGCATATGGCTAGGTTAGGTTTGCCGCCGATTTTCGCCGCACGCCCGGGTGCCCGGGTGCCCAGGTGCCCAGGTGCCCCGGTGCCCAAGTGCCCTGTAGCCCTAAAGCCCTAGAGCCCTACTAGCCTCATAGCCTTATAGCCCTAGAGCCTTATAGACCTATGGCCCTACAGCCCTAATAGCCCTATACCCCGCATAGCCCAATAGCCCTCTAGTCCTAATAGCCCTACAGCCCTAATAGCCTTACAGCCCTGAAGCCCTATGGCCCTATAGCCCTATAGCCCAAATGCCCTAAAGCCCTATAGCCCTATAGCCCCATAGCCCCATAGCCTTATTGCCCTATAGCCCTGCAGCCCTATAGCCCTATATCCGCATAGCCCTATAGCCTTTAATACACATCTGATTGGGTTGTTCTCCAGTATCATGATATAATTCCCCTGGGGAAGATAAAGTTCAGGGTGCAGGGAGGATGATAAACGTTTTCCCCGAGATCTCAGCAATACGATTTTGATGATTGCGGTGATGATGATACATCTGATCCTGGACGCTGTATCAACATCGTTCGGGAATATTGGGGATTCCTTCGGATATCCATCGGATTTCTTCGGACATCCTGAGGACTCCTTGAGGCATGCTGCATCCTTAGGATTCCTTAGGAGGAAGACGACGAACAACCGCAGGACCAGATTTCCAAAACAACTACGGGTCGGGTCCTTGCATTGTTTTATGCGTAAAACTCAAATGTTTAAAGCAAATGTTCCACAGCGCTTGTAGGAAGGAGCCCATGGCGGCCCGTGCGCGGTGACAAAAAATATACGGGGAAACAAAAGTTCGGGGCGGGAGCGCAAGGAGGAGGAGTACACATATTCCTTTGGGAACCCATAGGGTCCCTCAAGGAATCCATGGGCTTCCTTAGGACATGTATGACATTCTGGAATACATCCAATGACTTCCTTAGAACACTCATGCACTTCTCTAGGAAATCCATAGGATACCTGAGGCAATCCATAGGCATCCTTGGGACATCCGTAGGAATTCGTTGGAAAGTCATTGGAATCCTTCCTGCTCAACATAAGACGATAGCAGCTTCGAGTCGCAACTTACCCCACGATAATCGAGTTCGGCCTTGCCGCCCCTCTTCCCCGACCGAATCAGCATCGGCCGGAAAACTCGAAAACAAGTCTTCGATAACCAATGGCTAGCGTCTCTGGGGGGGAGCTTGCCTGAAGAAAGCGAGCCCCCTGACACCCAACAAAATGGGCAACGCGCTGCACGCCCTCGGTGTAGATGACACGACAAGCACCCCAAGTCATGGCACCTCGTGTGGGCAAGATTTGTATCCATACCCACAGCGTCTTGGAGCTCTGGCTTCTTGCAAAAAAAAACAAAGGTGCAGTGGATACGGATGAAATCCTTGCTCCCCGAGGCTACATTCTTAGACGTGCCCACTGCGACGCGGCCTTTTGGCGCCACCCTTCCCATAGTCCACGGCGCAGTGGATGTGGATATAGCTTTCGCCCGCACCTGGAGGGCAGAACCCGGCCACCCAGCAAGACAGCAGAAAGAAGCGCTTCGCGCTGGTGAGCTGTGGGGAGGGCGAGAGCCACCTCCTCGCGGTGTGAGCACAAAGGCGACGGCTGGCCCAGGGCAGTCGTCGTGCTACGGGGGCCCTCGCCGGGCCTCAGGGGCCGCTGAACAACGATTCGGGACAGAAATCGGGCCCTGGCGACGGGATCCAGACCTCTGGGTGTCGACAGCGCGACGTCGGCAGAGGTCTGGGTAGGAGGACCAGAAAAGGAGGAGAGGCGGACAACAAGGGGGCCGAATGGAGAAGGTGTTCACAGGAGGAGGAGGAGGAGGAGAAAAAGGAGGAGGAGCAGCAGCAGCAGCAGCAGCAGCAGAGCAAAGCAGAGCGGAGCGGAGCGGAGCGGAGCAGAGCAGAGCAGCACGAATGATCCGATGACGCGATGAGCCCGAAACTACACCACCCATGCAGGCCTCAGGGCAACAAAAAAACGGATCAGGCGCTCGAGAACAACATGGGGGGCTCGATCGTTTGCGGGGCCCTGCAGGGGAATGCCGCTGGAAAAAAACGAGACCCCCGTTTGGGGACTCCTTGGGGGCTCGCCTATGCACTCCCACACCAAGCAGAACCGAAGGCAAACGACGCGAAAAACATCCCCAGCGCAACCCCATCAGGACTCTCGGCGCGGCACTGCCCGGACCTCCGAGGGTCGCGAAGACCCAGCGATACGGCCCTCCCCGACAGAACTGTCGGCGAGACGCAGCTGACGGTGGGCCTCGGAAATCGCCCGGGAACTCTCCACACCGAGGAAGGCCTGGATGGGGGCCGAAGGGCAGAGCACCCGTACCTCCAGGGCCCCTGCAATGTACGTGAGGATCGGGGCGGGAGTACGTGTCTAGTGGGGGGGCGGAAGGATCTTCCTGAAGGTGGTCCTGGAGGAAAAACTCGGCGGCTCTGAGAGAGCCGTTGATCGCAATCAGGCGAGCCCGAAAACCTTCACTCAGAGATTTTCCTCGTCCGTCGCGTCTCCCCCCGCGGGTTTGTCCTTGAGGGCTACCTTCCCGAAACATTGTGCCGCCTCCTTCTCGAGTCCACCGTGTGGTGGGGACCCCGGTAGATAGTACACGTTCTTGGTTGCATCCAGGTTGCTGCTCGACGCCGCCAGTCTTCTGGATGCCCCCCATGAGCGTGTTCTGACACCGCTCCCAATTGATGGCCTGCCGTTGGACTCCCAGAGCAATCTGCAGCTTGAATCGGTCCGGCTCGTTCGATTTCTTACTGTCGAAACAGCACGGTTTGATGCTGAAACGCCTACAATGAGCCGCCAATTCCTACAGCACAGTCGGCGCGAGGATGCTATTTTCCAATAGTCCTGAAGCAAATCCTTGATTTCCTGTGTAGTAATCGCCGCGCCCTCCGTGCAAACACGCTTTACTTATTAGAATTATTATTCTTATTATAATCATTATGAGTATCATTACTATCATTATTGTTATTATTAATATTATTATTATAAGTATTATTAGTATTATTATTGTTAGTCTTATTATTATTAGTAGTATTAGTATTAGTATTAGTATTATTATGCGTAGTATTATTAGTGTTATTATTAGTATTCGTATTATTGTTATTATTATTATTATGCCCATTATTATTATATAGATGTTTTGAAAACGCGTGGCCATGGAGGCCCGTGCTTGTGATATTTCCCGTCGGCTTTGCAGTTGTCTGCGTAATTGCGGCCCGACTCCTGGAGTACTTTCACGAATGGCACCTCGGCGCCCACTCTGTAGCACGTGCAGCAAACGCCAGTCACCTCGGCCAGCTCGCGCGCGTTGGTGAGAGCGAGCTTGGTACGCACCACCAGCAAATCTGCAAGCGCGCCTCCCTTGCCGCCCTTCTGGTTGTCCCTGGCCTCCTGGCCTAACCCCTCCAGCAGACGAGCCTGCTTGGCACCCCTCGAATCGCTGTTGCCTCCCTCCGTCACTTTGCGCTGACCGACCGCCCAGCTGGCTCCTCCCTCGCCGAGCACGAGAGGCAAGTGTTCAAAGTGAACACGCGTATGGAAATGGAATAGGAGGAGGAGGAAGACGAGGAGGAGGAGGAGGAGGAGGAGGAGGAAAATGAGGAGGAAAAGGAGGAGGAGGAGGAGGCTGGGAAGGACAAGTAAGGAGAACGAAAAAGGATAGAAGTACCAGAGAGGAGAGAGGAACACGGGTCGGGAAGGGGAAGGGAGCCTCCGAGAAGAGGGGAGGAAACTCTGGGGCCGCGGCGACATCGGGCGCGCTCTGCAGGAGGCTGCTGCGGTCCGAGCCTTGCCGCGACGCCCGAGGTGAACCGGCGGACACAAACAAGGCAGCGCGCGTCCTACATGCGGCACGAGCGAGCGACGAAGCCAGGCCCAGACCCCCGACGTAGCATTTTTTCATGACGTGACCCACAGTAGTCTGGACCCCATTCTCGGGGACCCGTTTTTCATCCGGAATCCTGTTTTGACAGCCCCGAGGCTCGTCGAGGGCCCCTGGAAGCAGGAAGTAACGAAAAACCTCCCGTCGTGATTTTTCACAGTGCGAGAAGGTCCTGTGCGCACGGCAGTGCGCGTCCCGTGCGGCACAAGCGAGCGACGGAGTGCGAGAGGGGTCTCACGCACGAGGACACAGCGGCCCCTCGCGGTTGCTTATACCAGGGCCGCCTGCGCAACACACCTGTGCAGAGAAGACGGCGACTGCCTGGGACCTCGCGCGGGCAGCTCAAGGCACCGAGGTCGGCGCGCTGTCGGCCCCGTCCGTGCTGATAGCCCCAGTGTTCCGAAGGGGCGTCCCAAGACTGTTGCTTGACTGTCCCTGCGACCACTTTGGCTTTCCCACCACCCCTCCCTCCTCCAACTAGGATCGGCGAGGGGGGTTGCCAAGGGAATAGGGGGGTCATCAGTGGACGCCAAAGGGTTATACCTGGCCCAACCTAGCTTATAAAAGGGTTACACGTGCCCCACGTGGTTTAGGGGAAATTATCAACTCCGCCAAGTGGGCTGAGCCCACTTAGCCTGGATCGCTATCCCCCCCGAAGCCTCTTGGGGCATTTGCAACACACTGATGAGCTCGGTTAGGCCAGATATGATGTACCACCCTGGCATCCACTGATCACGCCCCTATCCCCTTAGCAACCCCCGCGCCCATCCCAGCACCCCTCCCTCCCGTCTCCCGCCTCCCGCCCGGACGCCTGCGAGCTCGCCCGGCCACACAGGTCGGCGCGCCAGGAGGGCGCGCCGCAAATTCCGTGCAGCTGCCAGGGAACCCCAGCTGCCGCCTGGAGACTCTTTGGTGCCCGAGCGACGCCAGCACACCACGCCCCTGCCCCCCTCGGCCCCCAGACCCCCGCGGGCAAGGAAGAAAGCACGACGGGAAGTGTGAGGCCCTTGCCCTTGCCGGCCCTCGTGACCGTGAAAAACGGCTCAGGATGGCGAACAGGTCCAGGGAAATAGGTCAAGACCTCTGTTGGTCGACGTTGCAAAAAATGTCGTTAGGTCGGGCATGTCCCCCTACAGGCGGATTCTGGACTATATATATATATATATATATATAAGAGAAAGAGAGAAAGAGAGAAAGAGAGAAAGAGAGAGAGAGAGAGAGAGAAAACAAAAAAAGAACAAAAAGGAAAACAAATAGAACATTGTATTTTTTGTTGCATCGTTCCCTGATTATTTGTGGACTCTTTTTGAATTTCCTCTTGTAGAGGGACGTGGCCGACTCGATAATGACGCCGGGGGTCTGGGCCTCCCGCTCCCCCCCCGTCCCACGCCGGTGCATTTGCTAGAAGGCGCACCGCGCCAGCCGCGTCGAGCAGAGGGCGCCAGGGATGCGGCGCAGTGGCCCGACGCTCCCCGCTGCCGCACAGAGAGACGCTTTCGGGCTCGAGCGGCGCAGGCACCCGCCGTGCTCTCCCCGGCCCTCCCCCCATCGGCAGCCTCTCGGGGGTGAGACGGCGATCCAGAGGCAGGTGCCCTGGGCAAGGACATGCAGAGGCAGAGAGGCTGGGCGCAGACGAGACGCTCCAGCTGAAGCGCGACTGTCCGGCCCGCCAAGAAAAGCAGAGGCCCCCTCCCGATCGGGACGCCGATGCGACTTCCGCCACCTCAGTCGTTCCGCTCACGCCCTTCTGGACACCACGGTGTGATGACCAAATGGCGAGATCGGCCTGCTTTTATGCCGTCCCCGCCTCCGCAGGTGAGCACGTGGTCCCCTGGACTGCTGGGCTCGTCCTGTTTTCTACTGGAGTTCTTCACAAGCTTTCGCATGGCACGGCGGAGCGAGCGAGATGGCGCGCCACGGGTGGATAGAAAAAAAATGGATGCAGTGGGAAGGAACGGCCTCGGGGAGGGACATCTTGACCGGCGAGGGGGTGGCGGGCTGAGCGGGCATCGTCAACGCGGGGGGTGTCCTTTGCCGTCCGCTCGCCCTGTAAGCCCAGGCCCCGCGGGCAGGAAACTTCGATCACCGGGTCCTCCTCCCTTCCTCCCTCCTTCCCTTTATCCCCTGGGTCGGACGGAAGGTTCTCCTCCCTCCCTCCATCCCTCCCTCCGGGACAGTGAAGGAGGTGTTAGCGAATCAGCTCACGTAGCATGTCTCTACGGCCAGCGCATCGAGGAAAGCGCCCGGCGGCGGGGCCGAATCCAGCTGCACGCAGCAGATTGACTAACCCCCCTTTCCCTACACCCCCCTTCGTCCAACCCGGGCCCCTCTCTCCCTCCCCCCCGCTCGTGCTCCAAGCCCTGGTCCCCAGTCCTGCTCC